TCTCTCTCTCTCTCTCTCTCTCTCTCTCTCTCTCTCTCTCTCTCTCTCTCTGTGTGTGTGTGTGTGTGTGTGTGTGTGTGTGTGTGTGTCTCTGTCTGTGTGTGTGTGTGTGTGTGCACTCTGTCTGTGAGATACATTGACACATACGATGGCACTCAGATAACTGATTGCCTTGAGGCTCTCGACTTCTGTCTGTTAACCAAGAGGCCAGGAACGTGTGGCAGTCGTGCAAAGAAAACAAAAACAAGGAGGAGAAATAGAAATAGGAGCACTTTCCAGCCCCTAGATTTACCTTCACCCGTTACTTCATTCATCCATTGGTTCTCACTTCCATTCAAAGATTTTATCGTCCATTCATTGTATAGACAAATCAAATCCAATAGGTCCATCCATCCATCCGCTTATCGAATAAAATCACCATGGTAACAAATGGTGGATGGAAAAATTATGGAAATTATGGCAGAGCAGAGAGAAGATGATGGAAGATGAGATGACGATGGGAGGAGAAAATGCTGGGAGAAGGAGATAATTACCTTAACAATAGGAGAGAGAGACGGAAAAGACAGGGCAGGGAGGAAGAGGTGGACGACCCATGAAAAAAGAAAACGACAACAAGGAGAGAGAGAGAGAGACAGAAAGAGAGAGAGAGAAGAGGTAGGTGCCTTGCTTACAGGATTATCCAAATTCCGCCGACGACCGGAACAGCGCCCCAGATGATGCCGAGGAGAAGTCCAATCCCTTGCCTGAGCCAATGAAGCACATCTCCCAAGTCGTCCTGATAGAGGTAACAGAGCCAGACCAGGAAAAAAAAAAAAAAAAAAAAACGGAGAGATCACATCAGGTCAAGCTGCATATGCAGATCCGGCCAGGTCGAAATCGAGTTCACCCCAGATTCAGATCCCGAATCAGGCTCACGATCGGGTCTAGGTTCAGGTGCAGATCGTGTGTCCCAGATCGCGAGTCTTTGCATAGTTTATTTCTTAGTGAACATCATCGCATGTGCAACAGGGGTCACTTTGGTTATGAGGAAGCCACAAGAGGAGCCTCTGAGTCCATGGGCGCTAATTTGTTACATCGGTTCTGGGGGTCCATCTATGACAGAATACGCCACAAGAGGTACATGGAAGCATGCGAGGTCTGTCATCGCAAGAAACCAAGGAAGGACTCAGGCTCCTCTTGGCTTCTTCCTGCTGGATCAGGAGAGTCGCTGCCCCCTCCATGGAGTTCCATGGACACGCTTCTGCCCGGTAACAGCAGGAACGAAGGGTCATTTTCGCAGATTTTTGGGATTGTGGATAGATTCTCAAAGTAAGGCAGACTACCTTCTTCCCCCGAATACAACGTACAGTGTACGTTCATTTTCGCTGCATCTGGACTGAAAATGTGAGGCAAATAGGGCCATAATGACCGTACCGTACGTTCTATTCGGTGGAAGAAGGTACCACCGCTTGCTGCAACAGAAAGAACAGACCTACCGTCTTCACCGGAATAGAACGCCCTGTCATTATAACTGGAATTGGCACAACTTTCAGTCCAGATGCAGCAGTACTTATCGGGCGCTGCATCTGGAGTGAAAATGAGAGGCAAATACGGCCATAATGACCGTACTGTACGTTCTATACGGTGGAAGACGGTACTACCGCTTGCCGCAACAGCAAGAGCAGACCTACCGTCTTCACCGGAATAGAACGCCCGGTCATTATAACTGGATTTTTGGCACAACTTTCAGTCCAGATGCAGCAGTACTTATCGGGCGTGCCTCACCAGAAGAGTCGCTGCCCATGTGTCTGCGTGGTGTGTATGTTTGCAGATCTATTATGTTGACACACCACAAAAAACAACTCACTGTTAGGACTCGGCCAACACACGCGGCCTATGGTCTTCTTCACCCATTCTTCACCCAAATAGAACGCCCGGTCATCATAGCTGTATTTGGGTGCAACTTTCAGTCTGGACACAGTGATAATAACCGGGCGTTCTATTCGGGTGAACACGGTAGCTCAGTCGGTAGAACACTGAACTAAGTAGCATTCAGGAGGTCGAGCGTTCTATTCTTTTCCCATGTCATTCATTCGATCCCCCGCAGCTGTATTTGGTGCAACTTTCAATCTACCTACGGTGGTATATACTTCGGGTGCACTGGCTGAGCAAGCTGGCTTGTTCCGCCTGCCTGTTTGTGGAAGAATGATGGTCACTTACCACCTTGCACCAAGTGTTAGGAGCCTGGGTACTGCTCCCCGCATCGAGCAGAGTTAGGTAGGCTGTGGTGTGACGACTCCTTGGGGTCCCTGTGGAATTATCAGCATATATATTATTAAAAAAATACAATATTTCCCCCGCATGAGGATAAGACAGCTTTCTTCTTTAAAAACTAAAAACGATAATAATAAAAAAATACAAAAATACAAACAAACAACAACAACAACAAGAAAAAAAAAA